TTACATAAACTGAAATGTACAACAGAGTTTTAGTAAAGCACTGATCTGCTCTTCATAAGTGTATTATTTGTATGTGTTCCAAATTATGCAAAACTCCTATAATTCTCATATAACTTATCAGTAATAATTATAATTGTTATGCTATATAATTGTGTGCAACAGAGATAAAAAATTTTTTGGCCAACTCTGTCTTTGACTGTGGCTGCCCTAAGACTTTTCCTCATTCACAGACAATTGTTGTCTTGTTTTAATCCTCTTTAAAAGGCGGCTTTTGTAATCAGCTAGAAGAGTCTGACAGGCACTCTTAAATGAAGGTTGCTAATAACTTTAAAGATTGTAACGTTAGAATAGAGAAAGAACTTTCAGGAATCTCATGGAGAGCTGAAATGCTCATGAGTATCAGGCAGAACAGAAGTTAACTGCATAGACTGAACTAAAAGAAGAGTAAAATAATTCTTTTATGAGTTTTTGCTTAAAACTATTAATGATCCTTTGTTTTTCAAAATCAAGAAAACTTTCTTTGGAGCTAATTACAGCTTTTAAAACTAAGTACTCTTGTAAACAAAATTTGGAGCATATTTCTCTCAACCTGATTTCTCCAGAATTTGTAAACTATTTGTGAGTATTCTTAACTTATGGCAATATAGTTATTTGCTTAACGGCAGCAATAATCTGTTTTCTTTTGCAACAGGGCACAGTTGGAGAAACTGGTTATTTTACCAAGGGTTTGACTGGAATGGCATTCTTTCCGTTAAAGAATCAAACTTGACTTGAAGAGCCAATAAAAACCCATTGGGAAAACCATCCTCATACCTTGTCTACACAGTCCCTGTACAGGGTTCCTGACCCATGGGGAGTAAAGAATGTTACTTTCTGACAGGTCTAGGAGCCCCAGGTTCTCTTGGGACCTCAAGAGGAAAGGAATTTACTCAACTCACAGAGATATTTGATGGCACAAACCCATGGCTGGGTTCAAGGCATTTTAAAAGTCTTATCTGAGATTCCTTATGGAATGAAGTTTCATCAAAGCCAATTTAAAAAGAGGCCTATATGGCAAATAATTATTCTTGCTGTGCTTTATGCAAATAATCAGGCCAAGTATAATAGGACTAAAGCTTATTTTACAAACAAATCAGCCCTATCATGATTTGTTTTTAATAAAAATGAGGAATGGAGAGAGAAAAGTTATGTTTCAAGAACATACTAGATTACAATTCAATAACTTTATATTATATTCTATTCTTATCACTTGTTTTTGAGTTTTTGTCAACAATTTAGACTAACCCTGTTTATTCCTGTGACCCAACCAGTGATCTCTGGCCACAGCTCAGAAGAAACAAGAGGAATGAGTAGTGTAAAAATCTGGATCAATATTCAATTTCTGGGAACATATTGGAATTGGCTGGCAACCCCATCCACCCAAGTCTTAACAGGCATGATGACAGCCACCAGTTACCTGAGTAAGTTGGCAGCCTTGGGATTTTTTTGGAGCTGTCCTCACCCTCTTATTTCATTTTGACATTCTTCTAAATCTAATAAACTAATTTGTCTCCTCTTGCCTTCAGGCCATCAAGCTCCAGATGATCTTCAGTGAGAGATACCATCCTCTCAGTATTCAAGAGCCACCCTTCTACAGAGGACCCTTAGACTTCCCATCAACGAGACATGACAGAGGCAAAATCCCACATTTGTCTCCAGTAGGCCTGACTGGATACTGTTTTCAACCAACGCATGGAACACCCTGACAGCTAGCAAGAGGTGATGACCCAGAAAACCACCACCACCACCACCCCTCTGTCAGCAGGAAGCAGTAACAGAAGAATTACCTTTATTCATTTTCCCCAAAGAATTGAGGTCTTGGACTCTTGAGAGGGGAAATGTTATGATAGCTACGTAGTCAGACATGAGCAGGGGAAGAGAAGGCCCTCCGACCACCAGCTAATCTTCAGGTGATGGTCAGGCAGTTGCTAAACTGCCTCTCTAACATAATCACTGGTTGCCGCAGGTGCCAGGGAAAGGCACTCTCCCAATAAACAGAAAGGTCTAAAACTGGTGATCAGCTTCCTAAGATTACAGGAATTGGGCAAGTGGGCTCAAGCATACTAAGAGGCAAAATGGCAGGGATTAACTGATATGTGACTTTGTAGGAACAGCAAACTCAAGTGAGTATGCATACAACTTCAGTAAACACACTGTGAATACAGTGCCTCCCAAGTGCTGGAAGGCCACTGTGCATGTGGACAGCCCACCCCAAGGGAAGAGTCAGGGGAAAAGAGACACAAGCCCCTGCTCCCTTTGAAGCATGCCAATCTATAAAACCCCAAGTCAAAGGTCAAACTTGATCTCTCAAGTTGCCTGCCTGGCCCTCTTCCAAGTATACTTTACTTCCTTTCATTCATGCTCTAAACTTTTTAATAAACTTTCACTCCTGCTGTAAAGCTTGCTTTAGTCTCTCACTCTGCCTTATGCCTCTTGGTCGAATTCTTTCTTCTGAGGAGGCAAGAATTGAGGTTGCTGCAGACTTGTATGGATTTGCCACTGCTAACAAGACCAGCAGCCACCTGTAGGCTCACCCCATGTTTCTACAATGAATCCTATATACAGGCAGGAGAGTTTTTTGTTGTTTTTTTTTTAGACAGTCTTACTCTGTCACCAGGCTGGAGGGTAGCATCCTGATCTCTGCTCACTGCAACCTCCACCTCCCAGAATCAAGCGATTCTCCCGCCTCCTGTAGCTGGGACTACAGGTGCGCACCATCACGCCTGGCTAATTTTTGTATTTTTAGTAGAGATGGAGTTTCACCATATTGGCCAGGCTGGTCTTGAACTCCTGACCTCGTGATCCACCCACTGTGGCCTTGTGGAGTGCTGGGATTATAGGCATGAGCCACCACACCCAGCCCACAGGAAAGTTTTTAAAAGTTTAGACCAATAATCTAAGACTCCCTGTCTCCTGGATCCTTTATCCAGCATCCCAACCCCATGATGAACACCTGTCTGGATCCCTGGCTGATGACTTGCAGTGGCTTTTTCAGACATTGTGATTTGCTGCTGAGCTGGAATGTGTATATTCATAGAAAGCCCTCAGCCTACTGCGGGTCATACTCAAACATTAATCATAATTCCTACAATCAAGGGATCCAAATCTGGAATCAAAAAGGAAAATAGCATACAAACAAATAACATAAATAAAGCTGGATGTAACAATAAGCCCATTCTGGAAGTATAGATGAAGAACATATAAAAAAAATCTGTCTTGAAGAGTAAAGGATGACTTCACAGAGGAAGTGGCATGGAAGGAAAGAGAAGAGAATTCTAGACAGTTAGAGCAGCAACCCATCTGAAGACATAAAATTGTTAGAAAATGGTATTTTTGGGAGCACAAAGGAGTTGGTATGACTGGAGTCTATAGGGTATCAAAGCCAGGTTAAGGAATAAACCAGCTGGCAGCTTCCAGGGCCCAAGGGACACTGGAATGACCCTGAAACTAAAATAAAATCGAGAAATTGTACTTTGTGAGCTCTCATTTAGGAAAGATACTAGAAGTAGTGGACACACAAGAGCAAAAATGGCCAGAACAATAGAGAAGGAACAGAGGGCTTCTAACATCAGTTCTTCACCTTTCCTCCAAGATGGGCTCAATTTCTCCTCCAAGTAATTGATGACAATATTGGTTCAAAGATGCACCAAATGTTTAGTGGATATGTAACTGTGTCTACCTAGCCCTGAGCTACACAACAGAGTGTACCAAAAAATTACAATGAAATGGTAATAGAAGTTCCAGGTCCTGGCCTCGAGTACTTTATATGTATTAACTTATTCAAATCTTATCCTATGAGGTAGATATTATCACTTCCATATGACCGATAAAGAAACTGAAACACAGAGAGGTCAAATAACTTTACAAAGTTCACACAGAAAGTATGAAGCCATGATTTATACAAAGGTAAATCTCTACCTTTAGAGTCTCTATGCTTAACCATCACACTGAATTTTCATTTTATCTTTTGGACAGTGGACAGCTGGTAAGGCTTTTTCAGCAAAAGTGCAATAATTTGTGTGTGAAGATCACTCACAGATTGAGAATTTGTGAAGATAGAGTTGGGAGAATCTGGACATGAAACACAAATAGGAGGCCACTGCACCAGTCACAGCAGGAGACCATGGGGGCCTGAGCTGAGGCAGGGGAACGAGTTTGCAGTGGAAGAGAAATGGAAGAGGTATCAGAGCTCACATCACTGAAAGGTGGTAACTGGTAAGCAGTGACAGAGACTGAAAAATCAAAAGCTTTCATGATTGGGATAAATGAAAGAATAGTGGTTCTAAGGGAAAATATTTGTTTCTGGACAACCTGAGCTTGAGGTCTTGAGTTTCACCAGTTACAAGGACCCAAGTTAGCTAGTAAAACAAAGAAATAAAGCTCTGTGGAAGGTCTGGAGTTAAAGGTACGGATCAGGGAGACCTTGTGTAACAGAAGACTCCGAAAGTACAGGTAAGGAGGGAAGCCCAGGGAAGCTCTCCAGGTATCAGGTGAGATCCCGAAGAAGGCCAGCATTTAAGCCCAGGTAGAAGAAACTGGGAAAAAACTGACTAGTGGTTTGAAAGGCAGCAGAAGAGGTAGGAGAAAGTAGAGTTTTGTAAAGAAAAGGAGGAGAAAGTCCTGGAAAAGAGAAAAAGAGCAACAGTGTCAATTCAGCAAGAGGAGCGGATCAGATGAGCTAATAAAGGGTCTCTGAGAAGGCCATGGTGACTTTCTACGAAATCTACAACTGGGTTTCTCCCTATATCTGCACCTCCAATCCTCTCCACCTCCAGCCCAGTTCTAGGGCAGGACTAATTTCACTGCACCAGCCCTTCCAGCCTCGACTTTCAAAGCCGGAGTTAACCAGCCCGTATAAGCTGTGCTGTTTGCTACTCCTCTGTCCTTCATGATGATGAAGATACTGGAACGTATTTCCTTAGGCTAGAGATGAACCCAAGAAGATTATCCATGGTCTCTACCTTTGTATTTTGATCCACAATTTTCTTCATATTTTTCAACAGATGATTATTTGGACCACCTTCTTTCTCATTCACGTACACTATCCTATCCAGGTCTGGAAAGTTCCGGTTCAGGTCTATTCCCTGGGCATTGCTTCGACCCACAAACCAGTCCTTGAGCTCACCAGGCTAAAAAAAGAAAAAAAAAATTAAAGAGAAAAATCATCAGTTGCTCATTATTGTCACTTTCTTTTTAACGTCTCTATCAATGTTCTTAAAAATAACATACTAACATTATTTACTTCAACAATGCCCTCACATAACAGCATTTTTACTACTGTACCGATATAAACATAAAAGCATCAGCTTTAAAGTACAGTCATGAGCCACATAATGACATTTCTGACCACGACTGACAGACTATACAACAGTGATCCCATAAGATTACAATGGAGGTGAAAAATTCCTATTGCCTAGTGACATCTTGATGGTCCTGACCCTGTGTAGGCCTAGGCTAATATGTATGTTTGTGTCTTAGTTGATTTCTAAGAGACATGTCTTACTCTGTTGCCCAGGCTGGGGGACAGTGGCATAGTCACAGCTAACTGTAAGTTCAAATTCCTGGGCTCAAGTGATCCTCCTTCCTTGGCCTCCCAAAGCACTAGGACAACCACGGTTGTCTAAATCTTTTATTTTTTTTGTTTGTGGTAGAGACAAGATTTAGCTATGTTGTTCAGGCTGGTCTCAACCTCCTAGCCTCAAGCAGTTCTCTCCTCTGGGCCTCCCAAAGCACTGTGATTACAGATATGAGCCACTGCACACAGCCTATGTCTTATTTTTAACAAAACAGTTCAAAAACTAAGAAACCACTAAACACTTTAAAAATAGAAAAAAGCTTGTAAAATAAGGATATAAAGACAGAAAAGATTTTTGGACAGCTGTACAATGTATTACGTGTTTCAAGCTAAGTGTTATTTTAAAAGAGTCCAAACCGTTTTTAAAGTTTAAAAGCTCATAAAGTAAAGACATTACAGTAAGATAAGGTTAGTTTATTATTGAAGAAAGAAAAGTATTTTTTATACATTTAGTGTAGCCTGAGTGCACAGTGTTTATAAATTCTATATTAGTGTACAGTAATGTCCTAGGCCTTCACATTCACTCACCACTCACTCACGGACTCACCCAGAGCAATTCCAGTCCCGTGCCTCCATTCATTGTAAAAGCCCTATCCAAGGGTACTGTTTTATCTTTTATGCTATTTTCACTTAACCTTTTCTATGTTTAGATACACAAATAGTTACTAGTGTGTTACGGTAGCCTACAGTGTTCAGTAGGGTAACATGCTATACAGACTTGTAGCCTAGGAGCAATAGGCTATACCATATAACTTAGGTGTGTAGTAAGCTACACCATGCAGGTTTATGCAGGTGCACTCTAGGATGTTCACACAATGACAATATCACCGAACATTGCATTTCTCAGAATGCTTCCCCATTACTTTTTTTTTTTTTTTGAGATGGAGTTTCACTTTTCTTGCCCAGGTGTGATCTCAGCTCACTGCAACCTCCACCTCCCAGGTACAAGCAATTCACCTGCCTCAGCCTCCTGAGTAGCTGGAATTACAGGCACCTGACACCACACTGGGATAGTTTTTTCATAATTTTAGTAGAAATGGGGTTTCACCATGTTGGCCAGGCTGGTCTCGAACTCCTGACCTCAGGTGATCCACCCACCTTGGCCTCCCAAAGTGCTGAGATTACAGGTGTGAGCCACTGTGCCTGGCCCGCTTCCCCATTATTAAGTGAGTCATGAGTGTACTTGGTTATAGGTATTTTGAAAATATGTTCAATAAATCATATTTTAAATGTTAACAATAATACTTAAGAGATATTTATCATCAAATTGCACAATCAATATATATTCACTAGTAATAAATGACCTATTTCAAAGTACATCATTCTATAATTAGATTTAAGTAAAATATTAATTGCCTCTGAAAATCACAGCAACCTATCTTTTAAATATTCAGAAGAATAAATAACCAAAGATTAGAAGCTTAAAATGAATTTACCAGGCATTATAGACTAATAACATGTCTCCCTCTCATGGTCTTCATGAAAAAATACGAGTCTAGAACAAAAGTTCTAGCGTTATATGATTTGAGGAATTTCTAGTTTAAACTCTTCATTTAACTAATGGTGCAATCTGGGAAATTAATAGATTTCCAAGATATTTGTTTTATTTTACAACGTGTTTTTTCTTGTTTTACTGTTAAATTATATCACATGATATAGACATATTTCCCACAATTTTTAAGTCGTGGAAGCTTAGATACCTTAGACTGTGAGGGGTAAAAATCAGTAAGACAGAAAAGAGCAATGATAATCTGTTGCCGTTGTGCCTTAAAATTCTGAATATTACCTTAAATATTAAATCATTTAATTTATATATTACTAGAATTTTTCTCTCATAACTTTAGAAATTATATCAATTTTATGTTTATTTACAGAAATTCTCTGGGTTTAAATGTCAGGCTATGTCATTGGATCTTTTTAACTGTAGATAAACATACTAAATATTAATTTGAATGTGTTCCCATAGACTAAGAAAATTATTTTAAACTAGAAAACAACAAATATAATGTTCCCCACCCCTGCCCAATAAAATAGGAACACACACCATATATCTTCCCTTAAAAAGGCATTATTTCCCAGCTTATCTAATAGCAAGGATATATTAAATTATTTTTATTTAAGAGGTAGGATTTTTGCTTGTTTGTTAACTTTATTCAGCATATGTAAAAACCAAGAAAACAGTAAAACATTGTTCTGACCAAAAGTATTTCTTCCTTGAATTCAGTAGAGGGCGCTGTGACACTGGCTCACCCAGATACACTCATAGCGTTACTCTTCAACAAATAGCAGTAGACATTTTTCATATTTGTAGATTTTTAAAAGAAAACTTACCTAGTCACAAAAGTGGATTAATAATTTATTGAAAAACATAAAACAAAACACTATTAGAACATCAACTTCTTACAATTTCTCATTCCCAGTCTTTGCTAGAGAAACTTGCCCATCATCCCTTTCATTCTGTAGTTTTCTTACCAGACAGTTGAGTAATGAATGCATCACTTATGCCCTCCACGGCACCATCTGTACTCTTTGTTAGAGGGCATAATTTTTAGATAAATATGTATGTACAAACAAACAGAAAATGAAGAAAGCACACCTGATCTGAGCGGCCTGGCACTCACCTGAGATGCTGCCTTCTCAAAGCCATCTGGGTTCAGGGAAGGCATGATGTGAATGCGGGTATTGTGGATCAGGTTGACAATTGTCTCGTTCCCCTTCTGGTATTCATTGCATAGGTACTGGGCCAAGAAAATGAGCAGTTCCCGTCCAACAGCCTCATTCCCATGCATATTCCCAATGTATTTAAATTCCGGCTCACCTGAAAGATCAACAATGGATAGTATGGAGATGTTTTCTGTGACATACAGTGCCAAATATATGTAAACCTACAAATGTATTATGAATACCTGATGGTTTCTTTTTCCTCCAGCAGTGATGCCTTAAAAAAAATCTACCTTAGACATTAAAATACCCATTTTATCCTACTATTCCTCACTTCCCAGCTACCCACCCATGATGGACTGAATTGCATTCACCCAAAATTTATATGTTGAAGATCTAACATCCAATGTGACTGTATTAAGGAGGTAATTAAGGTTACATTAAGTTGTAAGGGTGGAGCTCTAATTCAACAGGACTGTCGTCTTTATAAAGAGACGAAGAGACACCAGAGCCCTCTTTCTCCTCTGCACAGAGGAAAGACCGTGAGAGAACACAGTGAGAAGGCTGCCACCTGTAAGCAAGGAAGAGAGGCCTCACCAGAAACCAACCTTGTTGGCACCTTGATCATGAACTTCTAGCCTCCAGGACTGTGAGAAAACAAATTTCTATTGTTTAAGCCAGCCAGTCTGTGGGTATTTTGCTATGGCAGTCTGACAAGACTAATACACCATTTTACCCACGGTAACTCATAATAATAATAATACACTATGTGCCTCCTGTTAAACACTGTGCTTTTGCATGTTTTCTTATTTAATCCTGACCAAACATCTATCAATAAATATTATTATCCAACCTCATTTTGCAGATGAACAAACCGAAGTTCAGGCTGCTTAAGAAGACTGCCCATAGTCATACGGCCTGTGAAGCCAGGATTCAAATGCTGGTCTTCTGGTTTACTTAGAAGTCTATGTTTTTGTTTTTTTGTTTATCATAGTGATTAAGAGGAGCCAGACTGCATGGGTTCAAATCCTAGCACCATTTCTTACTGTCCAAGTTACTTCAGTTCTCTGTGGCTCTGTTTTTCCATCTAAAAAATAGAGATAACAATAGTTTCTAACCCGTAAGGAAGGTTACTATAAGAATGAAATAAAATAATGAATGTAAATGCTTAGAACAGTGTCTGGCAAATATCAAGTGCTATGTGTTTCCTATAATTATCTTTAATATTATTATGACATCACGTTAGCTTGTCACTGTGAAGTTCCTTGCCATACACGATCTAATTTTCTCTTCACAACGGCCCACTAAAATGTGTAAGGCATATATTTTTTATTATCCTTATGGTATAAATGCAGTCCAAAGAGGATATATTCTGCTGAAGGGCTCAGAATACTAAGAAAAGTCACTGTTTGCCCATTTGTGAGACTCTCCTTGCGTTTTAGGAGGAGTAATGACATTGCAGAACGTAGCAGCAAAGTGATCTTAATTAACCCTGTTGTTCTGCTTGTTTCAGCTGCATCCATCCCATGGGCCCAATTTCTGCAGTAGAAAGGATTCTCCCATTTACAAAACCACTAACACTGCTGGTTCCTGGTATAAGAAAAGAAGTTGGAATTATTTTTTTCCTGGAAATATGTTAACTAAACATTCTTTGCGTGAGATTCCTGAGTGTCTGATTTAAGTGACTATTCACCCCAGAAAACTACGTCCTTGTGGTGACCTCTGAGTCTGAGCTTATGCTAATCTTAATCTAAGGATCAGGTGGGAGCAGGATCAGGGCTATTTATACCCCCCTCAGTTTTCACTTTAAGGGAGAGTCTCTAATAAAACTATCCCTAGAGACTTGCCCAGAAAGAATGAGAAGAGATGAGGAGGTGTGAGAAGGGATGTTCTGTTGACTTCTGATTTCAAAGGTCATACATAGTAACCTGCTTCCTTTCTGTAAACTCATTCAGTTTATACCTTCATTTACTGGATGTATTCATTTGATTGAGGCACAGGAGAAACTGCAGCAGCCCATTAGAGAGAGTGAACAAGTAGCCAGGGGAAGATTAGAAGCTGGCTTCACAAGGTTTTTTGAGAAGATTGCACCAAGGAGGCATTCTGGTCTTGCTCTCTTCCCCAACACAACTTCGAAGCTCCACATCACACAATAAAGCTTGGCCCACCACCCCTAATTACACTGAAAATTGTTATGACTTATCAGGGTTTAAATCTCTTCTTTAATCACTTAAAGAAGAAAGAACAAACCCTTAGTCACCAAGCCAACTTTGCCCCAGGTTTAGCTAGCACAGGATATTTTGTATTTGTGTTTGAATGCTTTGGGATAGAGCATGCTCCCCCTACGTCTGCCACAGGCTGCACCACTCCCTATTGCTGCTTTCCTCATTTAAGTTTGCAACTCCTGATTTTCAGACTCAGAACATGTACGACGTGGTTTCTTTCCAAATCTGCAGATTTCTCTCAGGTAAAATATCCCCCAATATATAATGACAATAACAATGCTTTAGGTTGAAGTGAAGACAGGACCACAAAGGTCATTATGTTGAAGATATGAAAGTATGGGGGGGAAGTGCAAGACACAGATGACAGCAAAAGAAAAGGCAAGTGTATCTCTAACTCCTGTCCTCAGGAATAAATTAGATCACTATATAATGTTATCACCAGAATACAGAAGAGCAATGTTGCTTTAAGCCAACTGATACAACTTGTGAGACGGGGAAGAGCCGCATTGTTTAAATATAGCCTTTCTTGATATGGAATCCCAGGGTCAGATGCAAAAGCAAATATGTCAGCATTCCTAAACTGAAGGAATGCAGAGTCTGGAAGAAGACTCAGACGTGCAATGGACGATGTTCAGGAGTGAGGCAACAGTGAAGGAATGCTGGATCTATAACTAAACTGCTTCGAGGTTCCAAACTGGGATATTCCCTCCAACCTTCTGGCCTCTCTCCGGCTCTTTTCCCTCCCAAAGCCACAGTTTTCTTTTTAAAACACAACCCTCCTCAGGTCACCTCCATCTAAGAACCCATCAGTAACTTCCCCTTTGCTTTCATGATAAAGAACAAAATTCTCTACATAATCTTTAATCTCCACATGGTTTGGCCTGGTGCTTCTCGCCTTCTGAGGCACAGCCGTTCCCTCCTGTGTTTCAGCCATGCTTCCTTCAGCCACGGGGCTCATGCCTATAATGCTCTCTGCTTCACACATTCACACATTTTATCCACACATCCTTCTCAGTGTGGCTAAATACAGTTTCCTCGAAGTATCTTCAGTCTAGGTCCAGGTCCTTTGTTATTTTATTTTCGTTTATTTTTATTTACTTAATTTTTTTTTTTTTTTTTTTTTTTTTTAGGCAGAGGCTCACTCTGTCATCCAGTCTAGAGTGCTGTGGCACAGTCATGGCTCACTGCAGCCTCAACCTCTCGGGCTCAGATGATCCTCCCACATCAGCCTCCTGAGTAGCTAGGACTGTGGGTGTGCAGCACCATGTCCATCTAATTTTTTTGTACAGGTGAGGTTTTGTCATCTTGCCCAGGCTGGATTTGTTATTATTACTACCTCAGTTTGAAAATATACATTCATAAATGTAGTTGTTGGATTAACCCCTCTCTCGCTCAGACTGTAAGGTCTATTAGTCCTGGGATAGAATCTATTTTAGCTCACTACTCTGTCACCTGTGCCCCCACATAGAGTAGAGGCACGATAAATGTCAGTTCAATTTTTGAGCAAATGAGTAAATCAATGGTCTTGTTTTTCAATCCATCCTTGCATGGCTGAGAGTAGAGCTTGCCCTTGAGACAGAGGTGCAGCTGCAGACGCTTGAAAACCCTCTGGAACTATGAAGGGAATAAAGGAGTAACTGAAGGGGGCTTGAGGCAGCTTCAAGGAGGCTGCACCCCAGGTGGAATATCAGGAGGTCTCAATGGCTCCTTGCTCTATCCAGCAACCCCAGGTAGGAATGGAAACTCTTTGGGAAGGAAGGCAGCAGTATTGTGAACAGCTGATTTCCCAAATCTCCAGGGTCACCACAAAACCTCTCTAGGCGAGCAGCTCCCCGAAGCTATTTTTATTGTAAAGACTTAACAACAGATTCTGAAGAAACTTTGCCTTCAGAATCCTTAGAACAGAAATAGCAATAAAATTGAAGACTTCAGATTTTGAATGGCCCTCTGTGAGTCAATACATTCTTTACCTTACACATTTTTTAAGCAAAGCAGTGACAGCTTTTCATCATCAATTTTCTTTTCTGTGCAAATGGATGACGTTTGCCTTCCTGTTTATGGTGTTTACATAGAAGAACAAGCCCCAGGTTTAACAGGTTGCAGCTGCCAGCTATGGGGATCCGGCTGGTAATGTACAAGTCCCTGTGCGTTAGCTCATCTCTCTCCTAGCAACGGGGCAAAGGCAGCGTGAAGCACTGAAGAACATCCTCAGGACACTGGGGATGGTTGATTTTACATTCGTCTTATTTTCTTCACTAATTTATTTTCCTTTTTACACAGTAATCCTGAGTTCCTGATCTTGCAATTGAGGAATCATTATATTTGCACAGGTTTGCACTTTATAGGCTCAGCAAGCACCTTTTCCCCATTGCATCAATTTTCCCACAATTTCGTGTAAAAATGAGCCTTCCAGTTACTTCACATGGCACACGATCATCAATCAAGCCATTATTAAAAGACGATCACTTCATAAACCAAATAATCCAGCCTGGCTGGGCCGAGTTTCTTTTTCCATCTATATCACAGAACAACTAATGTACCTGGTTGGATTTGCATTCTCGTCAGAATAAGATAAGAATAAATTCTAAGCTTTAAAAATATCCACAGTTTTAATTAAGGCAGAAATAGCTGCATAAATTCCAAACCAGAGCAGAAAAATGATTTTAAGTCCAGATTTGTAACTCTTATTTTGCCCTAATTTGTATTAATATGATTTGAAATAACTAAATCAGTAAAAAGTAGCTTTAAAGAAGTTTCTTGCCTCAAAAATAAAATATTACTCTTTTACACTCCAGAAACCCACATCCACATGGGTGAAATTTGAAAATGGAGGCAAGTTAGCAACGTTCCCAAATGGTAAAAGAAATTTATGCCTTAAAGTGACCAGAGAGCACTAAAGCAGATGTCCACAGGTCAGTAGGGTAAGCATGTG